GCAACACACGATTTAATTATAAAATCAATTTAATTGAGTTTTCCCTTTAGAGTTTAACATACGACTCCCTTACCAATTCAGGTTGAGGAATCTTCAGGAGAATGCAACTGAAATATTCAATTTAATCTGTTTCAGCTCCGGAATGCCAGCAGCAATCGAAGTGCAGTATGATGAGCGACATGTTTTCACTGGGAATGATCATGTGTGCAATTTTCAATAACGGCCGATCCTTGATCCAGGCAAACTATTCCAGTTCGGCGTATTCAAAGCAATTCGAGCTCGTAAGTAACCCCTCTTTACGCCTAAATTAACTTTCATCCCCAGTCGATTAACGTCAAGTTGATTCCCTGTCGTGCGGGAATTTGTTTAACAAATTAGTCTGGGGGATCGCACATTCGCTATTATTACGCGTGTGTTACGGGAACGGGTTGTTTGGTGAGAAGTCACCTAAAAACGGTTCGGAATGAGTTTGCTGCTCATGAATATTGTGACCAGAAACGACCCAACAAGGGGCTTTTGGACGTCGACAATGACTGAATTAGACAATGTTTATCAAGGCAGGGAACGAATTTGTAAAAATGAAAGGGTTTTCATGAATAACACTTTCCTTAAAATGTGTCCACTGTGAGTAGTTCTATCATAGAAAATCGTTTTCTTTTATATCTTGTGTAAGTTTTGAATGGGAATGTAGGTAAACAGATCCAGTTAAAAAAGTGGAATTTTTCCAAACGGGTTTCGGACCCACTGAGGTTTAGCAGCTGCAACACCGCTGAAGTTCAGCTCGGCCTCGGTAACACTGTGTTGAGTTGCGCTTTTGAGTTGTTGCCGCTCTCTGATGTTCACGAGTTGAGTAACTCATTGGTTAATGAGTTATACGTAAAGCTTTACGAGGCCCGAGACTGGAATTTTAACATCTAAAAAAGAGGTTATTATCATTTTTCCAGTAACGGAACTGAGGTACTGCGCCGGTGCGTTAGGTTGGTCCAGCACTGTGCCAACTCCTAAAAATTCACTGATTTACCTTTTTTGTAGAAACGTTCGTTTGAAAATACTGTCTTTTTGGTTTTTGGTTTAAAACGGAAAATACTAGAATTTTTAAGTACCTTGAAAACTCTTCAAAGCGATGAATGTGACAAGTTTTCCAAATAGCCCATAAAATGATTTTGCTTTCTCTGATCTGATTAGGGAAAAAAAAGTTTTTCGAAAAAAAAAACATGTTTTGATTTTGTCCCAAATTCAAAGGTAAAACGGGTTTTAGAAAAAGATACCAAAAGAAGGTAAAGAAGGCCAAACTATAAAAACGACGAGTTTTCTTGTAAAATCGATCTCTGTAAGTTTTTGTGCATCAGGGACTTTTAGTTTGCCAGTATTTTACAGTAAAACGTTAGGTAAAAACCCGTTTTTCTGTTTAGAGAAAGTTTTGCTTAAAAATATTGCCCTAAAAGAGAAGAAACTGGAATTTAAAGAAAACCAAATTAATAACAGCGAAAAGGGTGACGAGTTTCCCAAATAATTGATTATAAAGTTTTGCTTGTTCTGTTCGGGGAGATATTTTTGGGAAAAAAACCAGAAAAAACTATTAGGGTTTTGTCCAAAATTCGAAGATGCAAAAGATTTTTGAAAAAAAATTACAAACCCGTTAAAGATGCGAGTGTCAATTTTTCACGGAAAATACCTGAAAATTGTGAGTTGAACTTTAGAAAATAGTGCAATTTTTGCGTAGAAAGAATTGCTTAAGAGAAACTTTGATAAAACTAGAAAGGCCTGAAATTTTAAGAAAACTTTAAAAATCTTCGGAGCGATGATGGCGAATTTTCCAAATTATTTTTGTAAACTTTTGCTCCCTGGTCGTTGTTTCAAGATAATCTTAATTACTTTCGGTATGAAACTATATAAAAAATTATTTGGCTTTTGTGCCAAATTCGAAGCTGGAGAGAGATTCCTGAAAAGCGATGGATGAGGCGAATTTTCTAACAAAATTATTTTTGTAATTTTTTGCTGAAAAGACCCCATGACCGCCAGAAAAGAAGAAAAGGGTTAGAAAATACCGTTTTCTTTGCACTTTTGGTTCAGAACGTTTAGTTCTGCTATCGGTTTTTGAGAAAATCTTCGGTTTTCGGGAAGAAACGGGAGAAACTTATTTTCGATTTTGTCCCAAATTCGACGCTGAAAAAAGTTTTTGTAAAATAAATCTTGTGATTTTTCGGGTAAAAGACTTCCAGATTGTCAGTATTTTTAAGTGAAACTCTAGAAAATGGAGCGTTTTTGAGTAGAAAGTAAAACAGCAAAAAAATTCAGTTAAAACTAAAAATCCATAGTTTTTTAACAAACTCTATAGGACAAGTTTTCCACATATTTTATTAGAGACTTTCGCTTATTCTGATCTTTGATAAAATAAATTGTTTGATTTTTGTCCCAAATTTGAAGCTAGAACGGGAGTTCAAAACTTTTCACAAATCGGTAGTATAGGTATATCTAATATAGGTATCGGTAGGCAAGTATTCTAAAAAAATATATATTTTTTGCGAGAATCAGCTTAAGATTGTCAGTATTTTTAAGTAAAACTTTAGAAAATTGAGCGTTTAGAAGAAAGAATAACTTTGCTGAAACTGAAAAAATTCTTAAATTTTGAAGAAATTTTTAAAATATTAATAAATGGCCCTTAAAATAAATGTAAAAACAACTGATAGGAGGTTCCCCCATTCATTTCCCAGCAAAGCAACTGAGTTACTGCGCCGGTGCCTTGTGTTGGCGCACCAAGCCATTTGCGCACCACTGCGTCAACTCCTAAAAATTAACTGAGTTACCCAGTCCAATGTGTGCAGGAATGAGTGACTCCTTCAATTTTAGGGTCAATTTCCTTCATTGTAGGCTGAAAAATATCTTGAAAATAATTCCAGTTGGTTGGAGAATTTAAAAAAATTAAAATAATAAAGTAAATAAGAACGAAAAACATTTCTAAATGTGAAGAACGAAGAAAATGTAATCAGGATATGAAGAAACGGGTTGCTGTTTCATCATTTCGCCACAACACTTTACTTTTTCCAAACCGAAAATGACAAATTTCCAACTAAAAATGTTTTCAGTTTACTGCGAAGAATTGCGTTCAAACTGGAAAATGTTCTTGCAAACGAAAAAATATTTCAGCTGACGCTTCTTTTACATTTGGGACAATAATCCTCAAAAGCCACGTTAAAGCGACTTTACGACGAAGAAAATAAACCCATTTTCGGCTGCTCCCAATTTCATGCCATCACATTCTCCATTGATTTCCCGCAAAATTCTGCAAACATTAACTGAACAAACTCGTAGAAAGATGTTTGCGGTGAAAGCGAAAATATAATAGACAGGTAATTTAACTTTTTCGGAAACAAATTCACTTTTATTAAGGCTTTTATATAAAAAGCAGCAATTTGCGTGCTCTTCCGTCAATCCGATTCGGCCGTCGACTCGGAAGCGGCAACAAAATAAAACGTTCAAAAAAATATTTAAACGGATCCCGACGAAATCGGGTGCATGATTCGACTTCATCTAAACTTAGAGGCTCAAGCTACTGGTAGTTCGTTTGGTGCGTCAGGGAGAATTCTATTTATTTGCTGCAGCGAAACCGTCTGGAATTTTAAATAAATGCATTTCAAGAACTTGGCGAGTAAAATTGCTTGGAGAAGGTCATAATAAGCAACTTTCAGCCAAGCTTTGTAAAGATCTCGATCGATCAAAACAGGCGACCGACGTTATAAGAGTTGTAGTTTAAAGTGTCTACAAGAAATAATGGTTTTTACCATTATTGTTGTAGTATATTTCATATTCGCTGATGGTATATTAGAATATTTAGCTGATTTAAACAACACAATTTTTAATAAATAAAATATGAATTTTCCGGAGATGAATTTGACTTCAGAGCGATGAATGTTGCGCATTTTACAACAGAATATTTAAACATTGTCATTTAACATACATTTATTTTGTAAATTACTTAAAATTAGTCGCTAAAATACAATAATAATAAACGCCCTTCAGGAGAAACTTCAGACTTCAGGAAAGGCTCCTTCAAACATGGCAGCACAGCTACACAGCCGAAATTATAGTTGAAAGTGTTTTAACACATTATAGACTTCACACTTATAATAATACTCACACTGATTTGGAAAAAAATTCAAAAAATCAGAAGTTATATTTTGGGTAAATCAGAGAGTTGATTTTAAAGCCATTAAATATAGAAATATTTTGTCTACACGCGCTGAAAAAATTATTTTTATGTCTGCTTTTTGTAATTTTTCAACATTTTGTAAAAGGGCCGACTTTCCGAATCCAGGTTGCTTAGAGATTTGACTTTAGAGATATTAAATACAAAAAGTTTGTTTCAATATGTACTGCTAGAATCAATTGTCTGCCTGTTTATCGCAGTTTTTGACCAGTTTTGTAAACGACATTAAAGCTTTATTTTTCAAATGAATGCGTTATTTTAAAATTCATATCGTCAAATGAGGAATAGAGATTTAGTTGATTTTAGAGTCCTGAAGTAGAGAATGCTTTGCTCTATATGTTTATAAGAATGGCGTTCTAAATATCGTTTTCAGTAATTTTTTACAAATTTTTAAACATATATAGTTTTTCATTTGCAGACAATTTTTGAAAAAAAGTCAAAATTTGAGTAAATCGCCGAGTTGAATTTGAAGTTATTGAATATAAAAATAGTTGCGCTATATGCGCTGAAAAAATTATTTTGATTGCTGCATTTTGTAATTTTTGAAATTTTTATAGAGTTTTGGAAACCGGAGCAGACAGTGAGTGCCATTTTCCTTATTCCAGAGCGGTTAGAGATTTCACTTTAGATACGTTCAATAGGGACAGGTTTTCTGAATATCTCCTGCTAAAGTCAATTTTCTATCTGTTTCTCACAGTTTTTGAACATTTTTTTAAGCGACATTTCAGCTTTATTTTTGAATTGCAGGGGTTACTTGTAAAATTCATATCTCCAAATATCGGCGAGATATTTAGTTGATATTAGAGTCCTAAAGTAGAGAATCCTTTGCTCTAAGGGTTTTTAAGAGTGGCGTTTTAAATGTTGTTGTCAGTAATTTTTGACAAATTTTTCAATTTTTAGTTTTCCGTTTGCAGACAAGTGTTCAATAAATCGGAAGTTAAAATTTGGCTAAGGCACACAATTGATTTTAAAGCTTTTGAATATAAGAATTCTTGCCTATATGTATGTGTTGCAAAAATAATTTTCATATCTGCATTTTGTAATTTTTCAAATTTTTATACTGTTTTGAAAACG